TTGAAGCATACTGTCCAGATGCATAATGGCCTGGTGTGGCAACTGCTCTGCCTAGGACCATAAGAAATATAGAAGGTGGTGTGCATAGTCCAGACCATCACAGAAGCCAACCTTCCATCCATGGATTCTATTTACATGCCTCGCTGCCGCTGAAAGGTGGCCAACGTCATCAAAGACCCATCTCACTCTGGTAACGACCTCCTACAACCTCTTCCGTCAGGCAGAAGATACAGAAGCCTGAACTCACATACAAGCAGGTTCAGGAAAAGCTTCTTTCCAGATGTTATCAGACTGTTGAATGGACTCTAGCCTCAAATAATGTAACCTGTATGCCTCTAAGTCTTTTTCATCTGTACATCCTTTGCTAGCTGTGATCTGCCTGTAGCGCTCGTAAACAGGGGTCCCCACCATTGAGGATGAGGATATTTGTGAAGCTCAATCATTCAATTGCTTGTGATTAAGATAACATTTGTTGTTGAGCACAGCGATGCTTCCCAATATGTCTATGGTGCAGTATTTTGGAAAGATACAAACCAGCACTACTCTTCAGTAAGCTAATGATTTCAAAGATAATTTGATATATATTGCAATTTGACTAATGTAATAAACGGTCAAAGCTCATTTCAATGGCATTAATTGGTATTAAAGCAAGTTTGGCTTTAGTCAAATGTATACCATGCCTTTTGTGCCTCATCCTTCAAAAATGCATTATAGTCATAGTCATAGAGTCAGACAGCACAGAAATAGACCCTTCAGTACAACTCATGCTCATCAAGAACGAAAGGACAAAGTTGAGATGGATTCATGCCTTCACGGATGGGAAAGGAGAAGTTAGATTAAAAAAAACTTGTTTGATATTCAAGCTTGATCAAATCTCATTTGATTATTTTCATTTGCAAAGGCATGGTGTTCTAGGCTTAGTTGTAGTTATAAACATCTTGCAAATGAGATTTTCTTTCCCAATAATATTTACTTCCCCACTGGATTCTGCATGTGGACAAGAAAAGGCCGTTAAATTTTGTGCCTATGAGGTCCAAACCATTACAGACAGTGTTAAAACTTGTCTTATATACAATAAGATTAATCCGCAATAACCCTTTCATCATTGAAAAGAAAAAAACTAAACATGCTGAGCATTTCCCTGCTAATGGCAGTCACAAGATCTAGATACAAAAATGAATCAAAATTTTAGATAGAATCCTTATATTTTTCAAGCAATACCCTCAACAACCCATCTTAAAATGTGCACTTGGGAACACCAATCTTCCACTTCTATCAGCTTGCCTTTGTTTAAGATAATGTGTAGAGAGTACCAAATTACCCCACCATGAACAAATATGATCTGGGAATAACAAGCTCATATTTCAGCAGGAAAACTTCCATATTATGCCCTGAATGTTTATTCAATGCATAAGTGATGAATTGGGCGGTGGTGGACACTTTTTCTCCTTCTTAAGGGATGGATTCAGTCAGTTTACCATTTATCCTTACATAGATCTTGGTGTACGAGTACACATACTGGATGAAATCTCAAAATACCTTAAATTTCCTATTCCAGAGAATTGCATGACATACTAGTTCAGGATTGATGGGTACAGCATAAAGTGTATTCTCATTCCACAATCTCATAAAAAGCCACAAAGTTGGACCAAATGGGTCTGAGGTAGGGGATTTCATTTGAATGGATTGAAGTATAAACTAAACCCAAATTAAATTCAGCAACGTTTTTTGAAAATATATTTTATTGCATGCTAATAGCAACAAGCTGCACCAATTTTACAACCGTTACTAGTTGCAAGACACTAGTTTTCTAGAGCCTGTAGGTTTGTGGCGAAAACATCACAGGTGTATTTGCAATCTTTCCAATAGAACCTAAAGAACAAAGACACATAATGGAGCATAGTTAAGCTCCAGCTTAGATTCAGTTTTTTTTCTATGATTTCAAAAATATCATAAATACAGCACCATACATAAGCAACAGTGATGTCAGTGTCAAAACCCTATCAGTCGTGGTGATATAGCTTAGTTAGATTGGAGTCAAAATAACAAACAGCTTTATGCTTGGAAAAAGTGCAACGTACATTTGCTATTCACTATAAATTAAAGATTGTAGTTATGAAGTCAATTTTGCAAAGTTTAGAATATCTTTACCAGAGCTGAGAAGGTTAACAGATAGCCCAAAATAACTTAAAGAATAATCTGGAACAAATCTGTTTGGAGGCTGGTTAGAATCTAGAAAATATGCCAAAAATAGATACAGAGCTGCTATAGAATTTTAAATAGGAATTAGATAACTACTTACCAATGGAATATTACACCCTTTGGAAAGCAAACATTAGAATGGCATATTCAGAGCCAATCAATAGGGCAAACTGAATAAATTGAAATTTTTTGTACTGCAACTTTCTTTCATCGTTATATACTTTGTTTTCATATTATTCTGATCAGTAGCAATATTTTTTGTGATACACTGATTGCACAGTTAATCATGGCACCATCCATCTTTGAAAGGTGCAATTCCCAGTTGGCAAGGATAGAATTATGGTAAATTCCTATTTAATTTCACCAATTATATCACTAGACTATTTGGACATCAGACTGAGAGATGGAATCAAAGTGTTTGATATCAGGATACTCAATGAACTATTAATAGTTAAACTTTGGTTATTCTCAGACTGACTAAGGTGAACTATCTCACTATATCATGAGGAATGAGGTGAGATGCAACCTGACACACAAAATCAGTTTGAATTTCTTCTCTTTAGATGTCACTATTTTAGTTTTTGATACCATGTTGTATTTGTAAAGCATACGCCCAATATTTAATAGCTGTACCTTAATACTTTCCATTCATGAAACATCAGACGTTGTGAACATATCTATTGCACAGAACAATATAGAGTATAGAGTAGATACTTGGTTTCAGTATGAGTGTTTTCAAATCTGCCGCGGTGTCCCAATATACTAATGAATTTACTTTTTTGGTAAAGTATATTTTTGTGGGTGAATTTGTTCTTGCTAATACAGGGATGCCTATGTTAATATAAGGTAAGACCCTCCCTTTTAGACACCCATTTCTAGGCATTGAGCGTACCCATCTCAAGAATGTCAGAGTTACTTCGAACCACACTGCCGTTTCATGATTACAAGTTGATGCACAGCAAACCTCCACACAAGATGTACAATCACCACTTTTTTTAGGAAGAAGTGATCAAAATAGTGAGAAAATTACCTTTCTTTTTTAATAGTTTCAGATGATCCTTAACATTTAAATGCAATAATGTAGCACTCAAATCAGTGTTAGCACTGAGATCTTAGTGGCAGTAAAATTTTCATCTTGGGAGTAGAGTGTAAAACTCTACATATTTAGAACAGATCAAGGCAAGTAAGTGCTCCCAAATGCGTCAGACTGGCACAGCCATTTTTGTGGACTTCAATGCACTTTAGATCATCTTGAAAACCCTTCACAGCCTTATCCACCCAACACTTCCTCAGTCTAATATTATTCCTGCACTCTCTGGATGCTCAAATCTTCTTAGGTATTTTGTTGATTCGTCCATTACCATTACTAGCAATCAGATAAGTTGGCTCTACATTTCACGGACCCTCAAAACAAGCTGCCTCGCATCATCTCTCTGAACTTTGAAAGCCATCCCAATAAGCACTTCCCCAAATTATTTCTCCATGTCCTTTTAAAAATACTTTCTATTAATTCTCTTAAGGTGTTTTCTTCTAAGGTGCACGAGATGGGACGGCCACATTTTTGGCTGTTGTGCATTTAGTTTATCAACCCGGTTTCACAGCCTGGACAGACTTTTTTTTAAATCTCTGACGTCTGAGTTAGATTTGAAAGCGTAATTCAGTCATGTCACTATAATGCGTTTAATCCCTGACAATCCTCTATAAAAACTTGCTCATTTATACTTGCTTCTGTAAACATACATAATCTTGATAATCTACGCAGAATAAAAACCATACGTTGTGCACAGGCTGTATCACAGACCAAGGAAGTTTCGCCCACTGAAAAGGCAGAACAAAAAGTATTTACACGAACAAATAATCTTGCTTTTGGCAAACAGAGCTGTCCTCTTGGGCTGCAAAATCTCAACGTTTCGCTCGGTATTTTGGAGGTATTAAAGATTTGAACGGGGGTGGGGAGATACTTGATTCACAATTTGGATTTGGCTCAGTCTCTGGCTTTCTGTCGGATTTCTCAGTAGCAGGACATTTGAGGAGATCTGGAAGCCCTCCAGTAAAAAGATGACATCACTGCCATTCCAAAGTGCTGTTCCATCGAGCTTTTCCCGTGAAATATCTGCTCAGTTTTAGTTCAAATCGAGTCGCTCTATTCCACCTCCTCCCCCCAATTTGCAGCACACCTAGATTTAGAAATCCCCTACGCACTTCGGGTCAGAGGCGAGGCATTACGTCCTCTCAATTCATTTGTAGTGAAGGTTGTAATTTTTTGTCCTTTTAGTGTTAATAAGGGTCGGTGTTACTGCACTCCTCCCCAGCCTCTTTGCCCCCACTCTTAGTAGGAGCTTTCATAAGCACTAAAACAGAACCCTCGTGACCGTACCGGTCATCAAACATCCCTCCATTCATTCCAATTCTAATTCTAATCCCATTTTTCCAGCACTCTGGCAATGGCGTGCGCTCTCTACTTCCCTAAACTCGGTGGAAGTCAGCGACTGCGAGCAGCAAAACCTCCACTCGCTCTTACCCTCCCACCTCCCCAACAAACCTCCTGCCCATCCCCCTCCACTGCCAGGCCACGCCCCCTCGGCTCGGGAGGGTGAGACAATCGGAGCGGGGTTGTGGGGGGAGAGGACACGGCCCGCCCTGTCGAGCCAATCCGAGGGCGGCAGCGGCCATCGACAGGCCACGCCCCCTCCACCGCACCCTTCCCCCCCCTCCTCCTCCGCCACCGCCTCCTCCTCCTCCTCCTCCACCAGCCGGGGCCGCCACCAGAGGGGCGGGGCCGGGCCGCTGATAGGCCGAACGCCGCGCGCCGGCGTTGGCAGCTGTCAGTCAAAGAGAGGCCGCGAGCCGGGCTCGAGCCGCCCGCTGTCCACCTACGCGCGAGATTGTCCCGGCGAAGCTCGCAGCGCCTTTCGCCTGGAGCCCACCCACCCATCCTCTTCCTTTCCGCCCCTCTCCCCAACCCCCCCCTTCCCCATTTTCTGTCCCTTCATACCGTGGGGGTGGCCGCAGATTCGAGTCGCGGGAGGAGGGGAAATTAAAAAAAAAACAATTTTTTTTTCGATGTGTCTATATAATCCGCTTTATTCCGAAGTAGTTTTTTTTGGATGAGCCCCCGGATGTTGGCGCATGGATATCTCACCGCCTCTCCAATGTGCTAGTGTTGAAGAGAGTAAATATGTCGGCTGCTGGGAATGCATTTGTCACGGTGTAAGCAGGATCGGTGAAGGTTCGCCGTTGGCCCGATCGCTCTGAAGTTTCGCGGGGGGGATATCTAACTGCTGTGAAAGGGCGGAGAGATTTGCGGCGTCGGCAGTGGTGTTTTTTTTGAGTCTTGCTTCCCTTCCCTTGAATGTTGACTTTCGGATGCTCGGCGAAGAGGTAAACAAACGGCGTGTACTTTTATTGTTGCGGAGCAGAAAGTTGTGTGTGTGTGCGCGACCAGGGGTGCGGGTACAAATTCAAGTTTCCTTCCTTTCTTTCTTTCTGAAAGCAAAAATGTAATCTGGGCCAAACAGTCGGTCCGTTTTGGGAGCGATCGGTCTCCGGTCTGTAGAGCTCTTGGAAAGAAGTGAATTTGCTGCTTTTATCTCTTGCAAGTTGTTGCAGCCACTCTGAGCGAGGGGCGCACATGTACAAAATTTTGTTTGATTCGGATGGTTGGGATTGAATTAAGAAATGAATACAGTCTGCGAGAAGCTGAGGTAATTTTAGCAGTTAATGATTTTCCATGAACTTTTTCCCCCTCCAAAAATTGATATCTCGCCTCGAGCTGTCCTAGTCCATAGCTAATATGATCTCCTGGCAAGTGTTTTTTTTAAAGCGGTCTTGTTCTCGCACTTCTTGTTGTTTGGTGTGTTTTTTTTAAAGACCATGTCAAATCGGTTTTCTGTTCAAGTCGAAAGGATTGGTATATTTTGATTCTCGTGGTTAAGATTACGTCTAATCGAGGGTAGTAAGGCTTGCTTTCCATTTTTTAACCTTTCTTTAGGGGTGTTTTAATTTGTCAAAATGAATCCTCAGCAGCAGCGAATGGCAGCCATAGGGACGGACAAAGAACTCAGCGACTTGCTGGATTTCAGTGCGGTAAGGATTATGGCGGTGTATCATGTATTTGTGACCGATATTTTTCTTTGCAGGATCTCTAATGTAATTACGAAGTAAATAACCACTTGAGTAGCTAGTCGATGTCTCGGTGCTGTAGATTTTTAATTTTTAAAAATTCTTTTTATGTGCACAATGACTCGGATGTTGGGGAGTTTCATTAACAGCCACTAGCCAGTAGTGGTAGTGTCAAAGCTTCAGCAATGTATGTACTTGGCAATCTTTTGTTTGGGAGTATTTGGCTGTTTTGATCCTAAGAATTTGTGGTGCAAGATGGTAGTCCAAATGCAGTCTTTACGTGAAGCAAATGCTGCGCTTTGTGAGAGTAAGCAGACAAACCGTGTGGAACTAGTGTGTCGATTGCGAGTTTGGTTGTGGTTTTAATGAATTTAGATAACCAAAATATTCTGTTAATAAAAAGAAACAAAACAGTATTATTTTTCAGACTAATTGTTCTGGGAGGGAGGGAAGCAATGATTTGACAACTTGTAGTAAAATCTTTTTATTCAAGTGACACTTGTTCTATATTTCTTAGATGTTTTCCCCGCCTGCATCTAATGGAAAGAACCGACCAACCACATTAGGAAGCAACCAGTTTGGGGGCACAGGTACAGTATGTTCATGTTTTGTTGTGGGTAGGGTGTTGCATACATGAGTGTTGTATTATGATGCTTTCTATTTTCAAGCTCTAGATCTACATTTGTGTGGAGATTGTATGTAGTAAGAATAAGTCTGTTTTAGATCTTTAAATCCATAGTCTATATTGAAAATAATTTGCATAGTTATTAGTTATTCACAGTTGGGAAATCAGTGGGGAATATGAAATATTCCTGGAAAGCAGCCTGAAGGGTTTTACGGAAGCAATAAAAAGAAGCAGTGGTTTGTCAGACCAAAAAAGATAATCATAGGAATTATGTGATCTTTTCTGATGATTTTGCTATGTAATTGGATAAAATCTAACTCCAACAGAGATTTTAACTTGACCTAAATTCTGACATTTCAGGTAGCAGTCATAATGTTTTTATCAGAAACGGGTTTTTTTTTGTATAGCTGTGGATATCTTGTCTAGTGACTGTCATGTTAGATTTATTTGTCAATGTGTGCTTAATTGCTTGAGAAGCTATTATGTTTCTGTTAAATATGATGCAAGATGACTGACCTCCTTATGCATTTATAGTATGCGTAGGATTGATGTCTCATTTCTTAACGTATGGTGTTCTGATTGAGTTCTATCCAGTGATGAAAAACATGTAAGTTGATGGCAGTGTATATCTTGCAATCTGTTGCATGTAATCCTTAGAACCTAAACTGAAAACCCATCTTTAAAATAGCAAACTGCATGTGTACATGAACACTTTATTTAAACAGGTTAATAATTGAGTATTTGTTTCCACACCGTGCAAATTAATGTCATGATTTAGGTACAGAGTATTTTTTGTTTTTTTTTTAAGGAAAATTGCTCACTTTAGGTAGGACAGCTTTACTAAGTTTCCTTCCAAAAAGATGGCTTATGCAATATGTTTTGCAGCATTTGTATGATGTTACTTAGAGGAAAAAATAATGTGCGTGACAGAAATGTAAACAGTTGTCCTATAGATACAGACACAATTTTTTTTCTGCTGCAACTGATCGAATCTTTTACTTTACATGTAAATCAGGAATGTGATTATAGTTTATAAGCATGAGTGTAATTTCCTTGAACCTTTATTGAGGTCGTACAAACAGCTCCAGTTATATTATGTTGTGACAGATCAATTTGAAGAAAACAATTCACTTCATTAACTAAGAGGGTACCATGAGAAATCTCAAACCCTTGAATTTTGTAAAGTGACAAAAGTTTTTAAAAGTATATTGAACAAAATGTAACCCAACAGCAGTTATTGTATGTTAACTAGCGTACGCACTTAGTGAAACCCACCGTCTGTGTTCAATAAGTGATCTCTCACTCCTCTTATCCTCCAACCTTAATACTCCCAAGTTATTTCCTCCTGCTATCTAGTCAGAAACAAGCTGATGTTGCATTTTTAAAAAATGATAATGAAATAGATGTGATTCAATTAACTTTTGGCTGCTACGTCCAATCTCTGTCATCCCTGTGATGCATTAAATTGATTTGGGGATTGTGGAGTTGGTGGACATGTAAACAGGGCAGAGGGTGACAGGTGAACAATGGGGAACCCACCTCTATCCTGGTTAATCCTAAGGTGGAAAGTCCATATACTGCTTTCCCTCCACACATCCAATTCTGGCTATTCTGTAGGTTTGCTCTGTAAGGAGCAGGTAACTCATCCATGTGGAGTACTTATGGGCTCCTTTTAGGATGGTTTGGGCGTGAGAAAGATCCTGATCAATGAACCTGGTAAGGTGAGAGGTTTTCTGCTGAGAACCACCATCTTGCCCTTGCTGTTGACCCCACCTTGTGATCTTGCCTCCCTGGCCTAGTTCCCAGCAGTGATGCTGGGACGTGTGAACAGGTTTCCTACCTGCAACAGGCACCAGCTCCTCAGTGAAGCTCCTGGCCTCTGATTGGCAGCATCTCAGCAGATGGCAGTTTTGCCATTGGGGTCCCAGATTCTCAAGTCAGTGGCAGGTGGCAAGAGTTTGATAAGCAAGGTGCATCGAGCCATCCTGAAGTATGCAGTATGGGTCTTAAGACCTCCATCACCTCTGGGATTTCACCCAAACCATTGAAGGGGAAAGCTAGAGAAGTTTGAAAGCCTGTTGAACCTTGACAATGAGTTAGTCTTTAAATCCCAGCACAGTATCTCTTTATGTTAAGATACATGCACTTTGTAAATTTTAAATTATTTTGTTTTTAATATTGTAGCTGTGCTTTGAGATTCTCTGGGAAGGGAAATAGTTTGTGTTTTTACACTTTGTAAATAAAAGCAAAAAATGCAAGAAGGGTAAAATCAATCCATTAGGCAGTGTCAGGTTTGAATTGGTATATTTAGATATTCTTTTTAAGTCTATAAAATTGAGGAATAAATAGTGGTTTGCAACAGTTTTTCACACCAGAGCTTGACTCTTCAGTAACTTGTTTTTCTTTATGTAGCTTGCATTATCAAAAAAAACCTTGTGTTTGATTCGCATCTCCTCTGGCTAATTCCCTGATATAATGCTACTTTTCTTAATGGCATTTTTATAGGAGAGCCAATCATGGAAAGCTGAAAACCCTTGTATGTTCAATATTTTATAACTGACAATTGCTATTTTCTGATGGGCTGTGCATAATAAATCAATGCATAATTACTGATGTTAGTCGATTAGAGAAATATATTTTGGTAAATACGAATATTTCAGTAATGACTTTAAATGTTTTGTGGTCTTGATGACAACCAGGTTAAACTACAAGTCTGAGTAATACCCAAAGTCCCGTGCTTTCGGGAGGTGTTGCACTGTTTTCCATCTTGATAACGTTGCATGACTTCGCCCCTGTCTCTTGTCATCTGCTGTTGAACTCTCATCACTGCTTTTGTTACCTTCAGACTTGATTTATTCTGATTTATTTCTGGCCTGTCTCCTATCTTCCACACTTCATTAAATGAAACTCATGCCTATGTCCAAACTGTTCCGTTCACCTACCTTCACTTCTTTGCTTGCTGACCCACATTCGCCTCCATTTGAATAAAGCCTCATTTAAAGTTCTCATCCTTGCTTTTAAATCCTCCACAGCCTTGACCTCTTCAGTCTCTGCAATCTCCTCCAACTCTACAGCTTTCAGGTCACTGAAACCCTCTAATTCTAGCCTGTGGGCTATACCTGATTTTAAGTACTCCAGCAAGATAACTTTTTTCTTTCAAATGATGCAGTCATTGGCTGTAGATTTTTAACATCAGTGCTCTTTGCTGCTTTTTCCTTCTGTTTATAAGATGCTAATTAAAACTTACGACTTTGACCAGTCCTTGGGTCATCTGCTGTAATATCTTAGCTGGCTGCTCGTCAAATTTTTTGTTTGTTAATGCTCCTTGAGACATTTTTGCTACTTTAAAGGTGCTCGATGAATGCACTTTATTATAAGGTATATATTTTGTGTTTAAGATCATAAAACTGTTGTACACTTTTCTTGTCGTATAGCAATTGAGGATGCACTAAATAAGGCTTTGAAATGTCAAGCATGGAGTACGTAGGGCTTGAATATTTGTTTGTGCAGTAAAATTTTCTTGATTATATTTGCTTAGTTGGGCATCTTGTCTTGTTACCTGGTTATGACATGAATTAAGATTTTAATACCTGACTAACAACATGAGATTATTTGTGCCTATTTAATTTCAGAAAATGTTCATAATGTATTGTTCTCTTCAATCTGTATGGTATCAAATAAGAAATATTAAAGAATCAGAGAATGTAATGCTGCTGAAGTTTCTAAAAACAATTACAAAAGACATGAGGTTTTCAAGCAAAACTCACGGAAAATGTAACTTGAGGAAAACAAAAGTTTTGCAGGATTTAAGCCTTTCAGAATAAGCACCCAACTGGATCTTTCTGGACTGTTGGAACAGATGCTTTGAGTTTATGGTTAATTTTAATTGTAAGATCCTGACTTTGTACCACCAATTTTATACAGAAGGATTCATTTAACTTGGAAACTGAAAATACTTCAAAAATTGAATTGCAGCACCTGCAGTTTTTTAATCTGTCAAAAGCATGTTTTCAAGACCCAAAGCAGCTTTGTGTTGAACTTAAGCGTGAAAACAGGAATGCCTTTTGTTGTGGACTGCATAGAGGTTGATGAGGCATTAGCAATATGCCGTTGTATCCCATGATATTGCATGGATGTTTGTCCATGGATTCCAACAAGCATATGAGTGAAAGTCATTACAGTCTGTGAGGTTGAATCACTGGCCAGAAGACTGTTCTTGTACAGTGTATTTGTGTTATTTTAGTGGGAACATCTTTTAATCCTTCTGCAGTGACCAGTTTTGATCTTGCCCCATGCATTATCTGAGCTTGCTGTTATGGATGGATGAGCAATGACCAACATAAGTTAAATTGTGCAATGACTTCCCATGTAATGGGAAGAACGTGTTTTATGACAATGTCATATGACTAAGCAGTGAGTTGTTTACTAAATCTTCTGTCATTAGTTTACTATCATCAGTTGAGGATTGGGCACTTCTGTGTAATTTAGACAGTATCTAAAGGTTTACATTAGAGCAAACTTGAACTGTCCAACTTAAAAGTTGGCATAATCATTGCACAAGGTTCTTGTAAACATTCTAATTATTTAAAATAAAAGACAGAAGGTGTTTCAGCAGCACTTTCCTTTTGAAAGGGTGCTGCATTTAGTTTGTTGAACCAATTTGTTTATTTAAAAGAAATCGTTAAAAAATGTTGCTGTGATCTAACTGATGGTGTCTGGTTCCCTCCAATTTTAAAATGAGTTGTCATTTATGTAGTATCGTCCAAAATGAAAATACAACTGTGTGACAATATTTGTGTATCAAAATTCAGAGCTCTCTTTCCTTGCTATTAGCAGCATGTTTCTTTGTGCTTCGTCCCCATTTCCCATGACTGCCAATGACAACATGTTTGAATTTCTACCCCACGTGTTTCTCTTTTTGTTTATAAGGTTCACTTTAAACTGTACCTCTTTGGTTGTTGCATT